CCCTCACTCGCTCTGTCTCCCCCCTTGCTCTCACCCCCTCACTCGCTCTCTCTCCCTCTCTCCCCCTCCGCTTCGCTCTCTCTCTTCCAACACATAGTTGCACATTGTGCATGTCTCTCAGCAGGTGAGGTAATATGGAGAAGTGCCGTGCCAGCAAAAATTTTCTAGATCTCATTCTGTAGATTACTGTGTGAAAAATCTTTGAAGCCTTTGGCCTCTGTTTTTATTGACCTACACGCACGATTCTCCACATTATATTTATAATATGATTAACAGATTGACTATCAGTTTGGTGCTATATTTTCTTCTAAAAATAATGAGGCCAAAGTTGAAATAAGTTTTTTTGTTCAACAAATCATGCTGTTAGTGAAGTGCTAACTCATAGAACCATAAGAAACAAAGGTGATCAGGAAATGGATACAGATGGCAATATGCCAAAACCAGCCACCAAGTGGGGACCGGCCTAACAAATTTCAACAAATTTTTGCGTCTCTTCAGCTAATGATAATGATGCTGAATAATGATCTAAAAAAGGCTTAACTTAAATTAAAAGATGAAAATATGTACCCTAGAACAGAAAGAAGAGAAGCAGAGAAAACAAATATTAGTATAGGATTCAACCTGTCTTAGATTGGCACCATCCTCAACCCCGTTGCTTTAACAGAGTCAATAACTTGAAACCAAGGAACTTTGTTAATATCGTATGTTATAACAAATTTAATGGTCTCCAAGATGATGAGACAAGCATGATAAAAATGTGCTACAATGGGAAATGAATATACCGCGAGAAGTCATGTGGCTAAGAATGAACTTAAACCCTGCTCAAAAGTGAATGTAAATAAGAAGAAAATTCTTATATGTGCTGACAGCCATGGCTGATATTTAAACAATTTTCTACTGAACAATATTGAGAGTGTAAATGTGTGTATCTTTACAAAACCTGGAGCACCAGTTGAGGAAGTAATGGAATCTACTTTTAGTGATTGTGAGGGCATAAATGACAAAGATCATTGTCAGGCATTTGGCATGAACAATGAAGCAATGAATAAAGGAAAAAAGATATTTCAATTTTGAAACAAACTTTAGCTATCCTTACACATATCCCCACCCCAATGTACTAGTTGTTAATATACCAAAAAGATATGACCTTAGTGAAGTGTCTTGTGTGAATTAAGCTGTGAAAATGTGTAACACATCGAAAAATTCTCTCTGTCAACAGTTCCGGTGTTGAAAGGTGAAATAAATACCCAGTAGACCCTTCCCAATACTTCCCATGGACTACTCTTACACAACAATGGAATACTAGAATGTAATAGCGAAGTGATCACATTCATTGCCAATAAATAAAATCTTAAGATATCTTAAAACCATTACTTTCTTACCAGGGAAACTAGATCAAGATCAGAGACTAGACTAGATCTGTATTAGAGTATACTGTTATTTTACTCATGCAGACTCCTATCCAAGAAATAAATAAAGAGAGCGGTGATAATAGACAGAATGATTCTGGCAAATATGATTCTTGCCAAGTGGCTTATAACAGAGTATGGTTTAGAGATCAACAAACAAAAATAATTCAATTACAAAATTATTTCCTATCAATACCTTCTGGTAGAGCCATTCATCAAAGTGGTGGAGTTGCAATTTATATCTAGAATAGTTTTCAATTTATTAGAATGGTGTAAAAGAATTAGTAGAATCTAAACACTGAAGTAGTCTTAATTTGCAGGAAGAAACATTTTCTCCTTCAGTGAATCCTTAAAAATAATAGATATCTATAAATCACCTTCCTCAAAGAAGGATGAATTATTTCTCAAGTTGGAAAAACCACTGAGTCCATTGAGGGAAATATATTGGTAAAATAATAATAATAATAATAATAATAATAATAATAATAATAATAATAATAATCATAATCATAATAATGTTAGGTGATCTGAACATAAATAGTAATTACCAAAAATTAATCGACTTACTAAAATCCTTCCATCTTGATGATGTAAACCTAGGCCATTCACAAGTTACATTAATCAACTAGTGATCATATTATAAACAACTATGACTATAATATGATACATTACCTCAAACAGTGATTTTCACATATCAGACCAAAGCTCAGATCATTGACATACTAGATAATCAACATTCTAAAACTCACAAATTCCGCTATATGAAGGATACACGCAAATCTAAATAAGATCATCTTAAAACACTATTCTTTCAAGAATACTGGTATGAAGTATATTCTGGAGAAAACTGAAATGACAAATAAAATGAATATTTAAGAATTCTAGACTATCATCTTAATACTGTATGCCCCCTTGTAAAAATTACCATCAACCAGACAAAAAAATAAAACTTAAACTTCCCCCTGATATCATAAAGTTAAAAGATTCCATGAAAGTTATGCATGGTATCTACAAAGTGGCTCTTTGAAACAAAATATAAAGCATGTTACAAAACTTACCACAAACTATAGAACAGCTTAAAAAAAAGCAAAACGGACTCAGTACATGCTGAATCCAAAACCATGTGTTTCATGATCAACCATTGTTGAAAACAAACCCTTAAACATAAAATTAAATCCTAAAACAAAAACAATCATACTGTAGATAATCCCATCCACATATGCAAGATCATCAACCAACTTTCTAAACACAGGCTCTGCTCACACTTCAACATCCTATGTCAATAATACCAACTCCACGGAGATGCATTCTGTCTTTCTCTAATAAAAGATTGACATTGAAATAGACGAACTAATAATTTCAAAAATAGCAAATCAGCTTGTGATGTGTCACCTATAATTCTAAAAAAGTACAAATCAGATGTAATATTTATATTAAGCTACTAAAATATTGTACCTTTCCGGATGCTTTGAATAAACAAAAACACATCAAAAAAACAATACACAAAAAAGACCACCTTACTAATGAAAAAACTACTGCCCCATAACTCTAACTTAAATTTTCGGTTAACTTTTAGAAAAAGTCATCCTAACTAGAATAAATAGCTTTCTAGAGGTTAACAAGAAACCTGTATATACTCTTCATGGATTTAGAAAAGGCCTATCCACCTCTACAGCAGTTTCAGTATTTGCCATGTAGTTCAATATAATCTTGAACAAAACAAAAAGATTGCAACTACTTATTATATGTGAATGAATTACCTTCCAAATTTCCCAAAACTTTTCATAACATTATATGCTGATGATGCATCTACAATAAGTACTGAGCAAAATTTGTCTTCTCAACAGGAAATCATGAACAAGTTAATAGAAAATATCTCACATTACTCCCACCTAATGTTCTGTGATTTGTAATGAGTTTTACAAAAAATTATGACTGAGATGTGTTAATTCGGGGAGAAATTTTGGTATAAATAGTATTTCATAACTGTTACTAAGGGCAAGAAAGTACTAAGAACGTACTAACGGGTACTAAGGGCGAGAAACATACTGTTTTAGCACCACTAGTTTAAATAAAAATGTTTGTAGTAGAAGAATGTGTTACTTGTTATTTATAAATTTACATGATAATTCATCTAATTTATTGGTATGAATAGTAATATTCATGATTGTGTAGATAAAAAAAAAAAATGTTGTCAAATTAATTACGGTAATTCCAGAGCTGATCATGAGGACCAAGATGTGGTAATGTTCAACCGTGGAATGCTACCAGCATACTATGGCCTTCTACGTCTATGCTGCCAACAGTCACGGACTTTTACACGTCAATTAGCTAATCATCAAAATCTCCATTGGGCTTTTAAAAACATTACTCCACATCCAACACAGTACAGTGCGGTGAGTCATTGAAGTGTAAAATAAGAGTATTGTTAATTGATTATGTATCTGATGTGAGATTTGGTTAATTTGAATTTATTGTGTTTTTTTCCATCTCATGTGCAATTAGGATCCATATAATTGAAATTTTGACAGACACCTCTTGGAAGTTGCCGTTTGTTTTTGTTCTCAAATTTTATATTTCCTGAATTTGGTTTTGGTTAATATTAAGAATGACTTTTTCTAATGTAGAATGATAGATAAATTAAATAATCTCCCTAATAATCCATTAATTAGATTCCTACTTATTAGATTAAATAATAAATATATTAATATAAAACAACGTATTTAGTCATAGTCAGGCACTGAAGGGCTTTTTTACAGAGGGTTAATAATAATAATAATAATAATAATAATAATGATGATGATGATGATGATGATGATAATTATTATTATTTGAATTTACAGGCTGTCGATGAATTGTTCAAGTTGATCCAGTTATTTGTAATGAAATTTCCGGATAGTACAGAACAAGAAATTCATGAAGTAAACACATTTCGTCGGCAAACTTTGCAGTTATATCTGCAGGTAATGTTAATGAAACTATAAGTAGAATATGAAAACTATATATTATTTATTTATCAATAGTGCATGCATCAAGTTGGAATGCATGTTCTCATTTGTCATTAATTATTGTGTATAATATACAGGGCAAGTCGCTTTAGAAACAAATAACGCGCCAGACTATTCTTCATATTATTAAGAATAAACAATTCCATTATCCTGTGGCCCTTGAAGCAAAAATTCTTGTTGAAAATTTTGAAAAATTTTGTTGTTTTAATTTTCCAATTTTATTGCATCCTTTGTCACCAGAACATTTCAGACTTGAAGCATTATGGCAAACTCGGCCATCTGTATGGATCTCTTAGATATTTTTAACCTTGATGTACCATACACAGAAGCAAAAAGTGGTCATTTTCTAGTAATTGGTTCCAAACAAGATATGAGTATTAATTAAATTATAAATTTAGGTAAACATTATTGACTAACGTTAATATTCTACCACCCAGGTCAGCATGAGAGCATAGCATCAAGTGAGCAGATAGTGCATGTGGCAAATAAAATTTATTTGTTTTTTCTCCCCTCTCATAATGGGAGATGTTAACCCCTACATTCACAATGTTAAATTTTCATGTATAAATATTCTCTCAGGAACTATATTTACTACTTAGTAAATTGAATTTTTATCACAGTCATGATATATTTACTACACCCACTGGCTATGTTGTGGTTTTCCATTCTTGTACAACAATCAACAATAATTTTTTTCTTTATTATTATTTTCTTTAACATTTTCCATGAAAAAATATTTTATAACTTTAATAATTTTTTAGTATATGCATAGTAGCATGCATAATATGAAAGAAGGAGAAGCAAAAAGAAAAGGAGGGGAAAAATAATTTTGATGTGATTCTTTCTGAGAAAATGGGTCATTTAAATAAAAAAATTCAGTTTTTGGTAAACTCAATTTTTGTTTCTTTGTACCTCAGTGCATCTCTACAGCATATTGGTTGTTGCAGCCAATCTCATCTTTTTTAGCCATTCTTTTATGTCTCATGTTGTTTTGAACATTCTATTGAATTCCTATCACTTTCATCTACTTACTCCAAATCCTTTCTTAACATCCAATTTATTTATCTTTTATCATTTTGGGTTATCTCAATGTTACCAATACCGAAGGCAGAAGCTTGATCAACATAATTGACATTAGTAGATTCGTTGTCATCATTATAATGACTCTACACAGATTTGAAGTAAGCAGCAAAAATATCTACAATTTTTTGAGGGGTGTCAGCTGTTTCAATGTCGTCAAAAATATAATTTGGAATACCATTTGTTCCTCCTTTTATTGTTAGTAAATTTCCAGAATGATTTTATGTTAGATGAAATAGAATTTACAATATTTATCACTGGTCAAAGGGGAGGGGTCAGAGGAAGAAGTACTCCAGAAGAAGTCGAGAGTGCAAGAAGAGAACATCCGGTACAGTGCGCTGAAGAGGATCTCGAAACAACGAAGAGTTCTTAGCCTACATTTCTACCAAGGAATGAAGGGTATGGGTGTGATCTCGCCAACGGAACAAGAAGATTCCAAAAGAGATCTGGGCAGGACGAGCTCAAATGCTTGGTGAAGCCATCCTCCTAGGGGAGTAAACCTTAACATCCTGATCCTCCTAGTAGGAGGTTGGGATGATGGGCCAGCTCCTCGCCGTCCATGTAAAAACTAAGAAATGTTAAAAGGCCTAATCTTGAGAAAATGGACAGTAACCGGAGACGAACTAGGCAAAGGAAATGGATAATGAATATTGAAACATGGAATACTCAAGGTTTGGTTAATAAGATACAGGAGGTAATTAAGGAACTTCAAGATTTAAATATGGATATGGCAAGTTTAAGTGAGACAAAGAAAAAGGGCTTGGGTATAGAAGAGATTGGACCCTATGTTCATATTTGGAGTGGAGTACCAAAAGATGAGAGGGGTAGTAAAGGGATTTCCATAGTCATAAAAAATAAATTCAGAAAGCATATTAAAAGTTGGGAAGCCATAGACGTGAGGCTGATTAATGTAAATTTGGAAAGTTTTAGATACAAAATGATGATTCTTGGAGTGTATGCGCCGAATGAAAATAAAGATACTAGAATTTTAGGGGAATTTTACTCAAAAATAGACAGAGTAATCAGTGAATGTGGGATAGAGATCTTATCTTACTGGGCGATTTTAATGCTAGAGTGGGAAAATCTGAGAGCTCAAAAGTCATTGGACAATATGGAGAAGAGGTAGAAAATTCAAATGGAAGAAATTCAACCATGTAAACGGCATGAACTTATAATTAGAAACGGCCACTTCCAGCATAAAGATAAGCATATGTTCACTTGGGAAGATAAGGCAAGAGATCAGTGATCGATTACGTAATCACTAGACAGTATTTAACGGGTAAAGTAATGGATATCAGGGCACACAGAGACCCAGAACGTAGATCCAACCATTAGCTAGTGAAGGCCAAACTTATGTTGCAACCCATAAAACAAAAAGAAACGGAGATCAGAGAATGAAAGGAAGACAAAAATGAAAATGGTGAAGGTAGGAAATATAATATAGTGTGTCTATCACAACCAAGTATAAGATATTTATTTCAAAACGGATTGGATAATTTACTGAATGAAAACTTAGTTGTATCAAATGACGAGACATATGAACACCTCAAAAATTGTCTACATCAAGCGGCTAAAGAATCGCTTGGTGAAATACCTTTAAATAAGAAAAGGAGAGGGAAGAGCTATTGGATTACTCAAGACCTGGAGCGGGAAATAGAGGAGAAGAAGAGACTGTATGAAAAATGGTTGAGTACCAAGAAAGAAGAAAATAGAGAAGAATATAAAATTCAAAGAAATAGAGTTCGAAACATCATAAAAAAGAAAAACGACAATCATGGGAGCGTAAATGTCAAGAAGTAGAAATGTACATAGGTGAAACAAAAACAAATGAGATTTGGAAGTTCATAAAAGAGGTAAAATCTCCCCAAATGGAAAAAGTCTGTACAAAGAATATCTGTAAGCAAATAGGAAGAGTACTTTCAGAAATTATTAAAAGAAGGAAGATCAGACTTTTTTGAAACTGCAGAAAGGGAAAAGATATCTCTGGCCATGGAAATTACAGTAACCGAAGAGATAGTTAAGAGATGTATCAAAGAAATGAAAAGCGGTCCAGGAGAAATCCCAAGCGAACTGATAAAGAACGGAACACCAAAGCTAGTGCGAATGATGACGAAGTTAATGAATATGTGTATAAATAAAGGCGATGTACCAGAAGACTGGAAAATGGCTTATATAACACCAATATATAAGAAAGGAAGGAAAGACATTCGTAAAAATTATAGAGGGATAGCAGTGGCAAACACATTCAGTAAGGTACATGGAAGAATATTAAGAGAATTAATAGACGATGGATACAAGGAGTACAAAGTGGTTTCAGGGCAGGTCGGTCTTGCTTAGATAACCTGTTTTGTCTGTCCCAGGTGATGCGAAAGAAATGGCAAACAGGAAGAGAACGTCACATGGTCTTCCTTGATATAGCAAAGGCATATGATAGTGTGCCAGTAATAAAGGGGAGTAATATGGGAATATCTGAATAAAAGTAATGTAAATAAATTCTTATTAATGGCAGACCAAGACCAGGATGGAACATCCAGAAAAGAAAGATAATCGAGAAGTGGAAATTACCTTCTCATTCCTGGAAGAACAGGGAAGACAGGAGAAGAAGATTAGGCCCCGGAAGACCGAAGTAGTGGTCAAAAAAACGGCATGAAGAAGAAGAATATTTATCACATAATTATCATAATCAAGATGACATTTTGATTTACATTTTTTGCATAATTATGAAAATTTACTATTATCTAAAGGATCATCTGTAAATTTGTATTTGGAGTGAGCTTTAGACTTTTCGTTTAACATTAATTTCAATTCTTTAGAGTTCCAAGGAGGATATTGATGAAGAGATACATACATTTTGGATACATGTTTTTTGATCAGTTCATAAATTAAGTTATAAAAATAATCAATACATGATTGAATAGAGTTAATTTCAAAATAGCTACTCCATTCAAATGATCGTAAGTCTTTGCTAATTGACATAAAGTCTGCGAGGTTATAATTGTATTTTGTGACTAACGAATCGAGTGTCGTGTAGCTTTCTTTAATATTTATCATAAGTTCCAGTGCTGGATGATAGTAATCACAAGGAACAATAGGACAGTCAGATTTAATTACATTTGAATAATTAGAAGGAAGTATGAAGTTGAGAATTTTAGAATTATCATTTAATATTTTGTTTAACTGTAATAAATTGATATAATTCATTGTATGTTGAATTTGTGTGCCAATATCAATTTCAGTACTAGGGGCATTTAAAAATCCTGAATGAACAACATCATCAAAGTTTGACCATAATGTATTTGGGTAAATTAAAATCACCCTTTATTAAGAATTTCGATGTTTTGGTTGTTTTCAAAAACTAGTTCTAGATTTGTGATAAATTCTAAGTAGGCAACAAGAATTGACAACAATGATGTCTATTTCATCATTGATAATGTCTGAACATTGGTTACAATAATATCACATAAGCTGATTTGATTTTTTGAGCAGAAACACCTTCATTTAGGAAGAAGTCAGTGAAGAATATTTCTGGTGAAATTTAAGATTACATTAGTCACATTCAGCAAAGTCATCTTCATCCTATTTACCACGAATTTGGATGACTTAATGACAAATTCCACACTGGTTAGCCATTTAGATAAATTAAATATGCGCTTTTGGAAATAATACATTTTATCACTCAATTGTAAATAAATATTTTACAAGCCAGTAGCTAAAAGTAAATAAATAGTTTAATACAAAGCATGTGTAAAATTTTATTCGTTAGTTCAGTCAATCCAAATTGAACTAGTTCAGTCAATCCAAATTGAAGTAGTTCAGTCAATCCAAATTGAAGTAATAACAAAAAAAATTCTTAGTGTGAATATTTTTAGGAAGTA